TCTTTAGGGCTTTTAATACAATTATATATATATATATATATATATATATATATATATATATAACTAAACGAACTTTATGGTTGTACGGTAGTGAAGCATCAGTGCCAACACTGATGTTGCTGTCATTGATGATGATGATGATGATGATGATGATGATGATGATGATGATGATGATGATGATGATAGGGCATTTGACAGAGAACAGGTTACCTGAATGGTGATTAGGGAGAATATCTAGCTCAAGCTCAACCTTTTCAAGTCACATACCAAGTACCCCTGTACTAAAAAAACTGCTACAATTCAGACCTATGGATTGCGAAGGTCCTCGGAATTCGGCTAGGTGACAGTTAACTCACCCGCATATACCCGTCCTTTTCTTTGCATAAAAATTTGCTTAAGCGAGATGGCCCAAGTGGTTAGAGCGCGAATTTACTGAACGGAAGGTCGTGGTTCGAAGATGATGATGATGATGATGATGATAGGGCATTTGACAGAGAACAGGTTACCTGAATGGTGATTAGGGAGAATATCTAGCTCAAGCTCAACCTTTTCAAGTCACATACCAAGTACCCCTGTACTAAAAAAACTGCTACAATTCAGACCTATGGATTGCGAAGGTCCTCGGAATTCGGCTAGGTGACAGTTAACTCACCCGCATATACCCGTCCTTTTCTTTGCATAAAAATTTGCTTAAGCGAGATGACTCAAGTGGTTAGAGCGCGAATTTACTGAACGGAAGGTCCGTGGTTCGAACCCGACCTCCGCCTCCCGATTTCCCCTGTCTAGGCTTGGGCAACCTGGCGGTATCCCAGCCCTCGTGCTTCCTTCGGGTGGCATGGCAGCTAGGCACCGAAGGGGTGTTACAGATGAACGATTTTTTCTTTCTGCTTACGTGTACGTGATTTCACAGATAGCAAACTTTGTTCGCTACCATGATTCTTATGATGGAATCCAACTTTGCTAGTTCGGAGGATTGCGACCCTGGAAGCGTAACTTTCTGCTGACCGCCGTCTACAAAAGGATGTTACCATGTTAATCCGTCATTTACTGGGCTGATTTAGGACAACCTGTGTCTAGAAATTGCAGGGACTATCACCCCGCTTTTGAATGATAGCACAGCAAAGATGCCGAAGACCAACATCTCGGCGACCAATCTTCCCGCTAACAGTAGGGTTGTGCGGTCATTGGATCTTTTCCTACCCACAGCAAATATAAACGACTGCACTAGCCCCGCCGACACCCATTCCCTGAGTTGCCCAAGAAAGCTACAACCATATTTCGGCCACTGATGACATTCTGGTCAGAATGCACACTGAAACTTATTAGAGTTTTGAATCAAAGAACCAGTGATCCAAAGGAACCATACTATTTATTCTTCTACTGATTGGTCAAACGAATGGATAGATCTTCAAAAGTAACAGATCGTCATAATCACAACTTTTCAAGTTACCTGCGGATGGATTAATACATAGTCGGAGCCAGACCCTTGTGGTTATATGGTATGATGGCACAAAAGTGATCTCATTCCTTAAAAACACGACATACCGATCGAATACTGGTATCAGTGCGGGCCGACCACGTACTCCTCCCTCTGGCACTGGGCGGCCTTCAGTCGTTGTTGCAGGTCGAAAGGCCATTGCATCCACCGGCTCAATGTTGATTCTGGCACGAACCAAATGCGCTTCTGTCTCCGATACACGAAGCACACGCCGGCGACGCCGACCATCCTGTCTTGCTTGTTGCTGCTGCTCCGTAGTGGATGCGGCGGTGTCCGACCCTGCAGCAAGTTCATGCCGGACAGACTGGCTAGCCACTGCGGCGTTATGAGCCGTGCTATCTGCTGCTTGACCCTCAGAAACATGAGGCAACGCAGCTTCGGACTGAACATCTCTGCATTCTGGTGATCCATTCGCGAGAGAAATCACATTGAAATCTGATATTAGGTGCAGCATATGGGCATGCAAATGGAGTAGCCGGCTGATTTGGAGGAAGAACTGAAAGAAATATAAAAACAATAAACGTTAATACGCACGCACTGTCTGGATTTCGTCCCAGAATTTTGTGCAAACATGATAAGATGACCCTCTTCAGTAAGAACGGGTTTGTTACGGAGACTGGATCTTCTATAAATCTTTTGTTATAGCTTTAAATAGGTTGCAACCTGGAAACTGTTCAAATTCAGATGTTATCGTTGTTCTCTTCTGGAAAGACATTAAATTTAGTTGGTCCCTTGGTGTAAATTACAACGGTAAATTAGCTCCCAGAGCAGAAAAATCTTGATTCGTGGCTACACTAGGGACGGTAACCTTCCTGGAATATGATTACCGCGATGTTGCGGAATGCAGACAGATCGCGTACGCTGCCTGTTTGTTGGTCGTTTCGCCGAGCTTGGCAGCTGGATTGCAAACGTCCCATCATTGACCGTGGTGACAACGTCAGTGAGGGTTTGAGTGGGTCTCTCAAACCACTAACGATTTTACCGCGATTGCAGTCCAGCTGTCAAGCTAGGCGAACAGACCAACATCCATGGATATTGTTCTATTTGTCATCCGAGAGTATCTTTACCAGCGTGGTGCGTACGAAACAGTTGACAACGGGCTAATTTCGGAACACCAACCAATGAAGAATCGATCGAATTATGTACCAGATGAACTGGACCGCGTTCCGTGGAATAACAATGAAGAGAATAAACTAAAAAGTAAGATATACGGAGGCGGTAATAACGAGAATAAGACCCCAACTGTCAGTCTAAAACAGGAAAAGTAAGGGGCGTAATGCAAGCCCAGTGCAGGTAACCCACTCGTTCAAACAAGTTGAAAAGGGAATGGAACACAATGCCACACACATCGACTAGCGGTTATATCTTGCAGTGTCTCCAGCCACACACACGACGGATGAAACGGAACGTCCTAGAACACATGACACCCACAATACTTGGGTCTCTCACAATCGTCCTCATGCGCTTCTACTAGGTCAAAAGGACCAACTTTCTGACTGCATAAATCGGAATTATACACGTAAAACGACGGTTTTTTCGGAAAACGAAGGTTTGACGCACGTACTATACGACCGAGTCATCAATTATCACTGAGATTCACATGTGCTCCCTGATGCTTGCTCTCATGGTTACATATACGAACCATCTGGTAAAAATATTAGTGCACATGCTGAATGTTGACCTACATAATCAACCCAAACCAAACTCTGAAACAGGCATGAAAACACAGAGATAGCTTCCTTCCCTAGATGGGTTCCAAGAAGCTGGTATTTTAAGTGTACCATGAATTAGACACCTAGTTGGACGGTTGAGATAAAAGTGACCCACATCGTTGTTTGTCGGGTTTTCACAGCACCATGTCATTTGGGGTTGGGGTTATCGAGTGCGTAGAACAAACAAGCAGGGACGGTGACCTGATATATTCATGCGACGGTCTTGGTAGGGACTGGCAGCAGACGCAGGATCGAACTAGATACTACTCGAAAAGGGTTAAGTAAGAAAAACCAAACCAGCTGAAACTATGGATGCACGATGTGATTAGGCCTGTGAAAGCACAATACTCGACTAATCCCAAGCAGCCAGTTTTTGATGAATTCGTTGTGACTCGACAACTGTTGAAGCGTTTAGGTGAAACAGTTGGTGGGAAAGAGATCAGAAACATACGCGGTGATGCCAGTCACTAGAGGTTGGTTCACCGGACTCAGAGGAAGCCACCTGCGCGGTTAGTGGTGGAGGCGACTCAGTTCGGTCAGAGCCAGTGCTCAGTTCGAGTTCTGTCTCACCCCGTGTAGAATGCGTTGGCTCCACTGGCTTCGTCTCCTGGGTGGTCTGCTCTCTGTTTAATAGCTCCTCTTGCGCGCGACTTTCGGCATTCAGCATGGCTTCCCACCGATCCAAATACGGTTCAGCCGAACGCCATAGGCGTCGATGGCGAGAAATCATATCGGCAAGCACTGAAATTGGACGTTCAGCCGGTGTTGAGCTTGACGAGCCCGAGGAGTTTTCTACCTGACTGGCTCGGTTCTGAACCGCAGCATCGTTTACGCCCGCGACTGCATTTGAAGCTGCTGTCACATGGCATTACTGATCAGAATCAGTGACCATNGGTGACACTGGTCGCGCTAAAAACGGATAGAATTGAGAAACGACGGATGAGTGATAAGGAAAACCGCTACGGTATACTAATGGAAGCTTCTTTCGAAGTGCATGGAACCATTAACAGCTTCCATGAAACAGAAAGTTTATATTAACGAGTAAGAACGGGAACTTGTTTAACAGAGTAGTCTACGCGTCCAGCTCAGGCTGACGTATCGACTGCATGGGCAAGGTGTACAACGGACGTCGAAATAGGGATAAACGTATTTCCTAATCCGATTATGCATGCTCATCGAAATTGGTGGACATAGTTATCTCGGAAACATACCCTCAGCCTAACAATAAATGACAAAGGATCGAGAAAAAGCGAGGAAAGAGCTCACGTCACCCGTTGTCTTTTACGATATGAAATGATGAGACATACAGGAGTGTCCACGCTCAGCCGTTTCCGACTTCGAAGCGGAATCTGAGGCGCTTGTACCTGAGCCATTGACCATTGGTGTAGTTGGTGCCACAATCTGAGTTTCAGCTGTGGGACTGTCCAAAGGCGACGATTCGTCTAGCGCGGAATCACTTGCTTGTTCAGGAGTCGGGAAAAACGGGTGACGTATGACACGTCGGAGAAGATGCGACGCTTGTCGATGGAGCCTGTTGAAAGTATGCTCGCGAGCCAGTACCGCTGAGTATCGAGCACCTCCAGGGGGGTCACCACCGGTATGTGGTGGAAAACTGGAGGGAATAGGATAGGACATCATGATGGGTTGAAATCAACAGGATCATTTAAGCGGGTGGGCAGTCAAACAAGTACAAAGTGGCAGAATTCAAATCGAGATGGTTCACCTCGTTAAGAGAAAACGTGGAAATCGGAGTCCCCAGCTGCTCATTTGGCGCCATAACGAGGTAAAAAATACGAACAAGCATACAGAGACAGAAACCCACGACCAGGTGTTGTGAACAGGATAGAAAACACCGTTCAATTGTAGCATCTTTTCGGTGCCTAACTGCCATGCCACCAGGAAGAAGCATGCCGGCTGGGATACTTTCAGTCTGCCCAAACCTAAACGGGGGCAATCGATAGGGGGAGGTCGGGTTCGAACAACGGACCTTGTGACCAGTAAATTCCTGCTCTAACCAGTGTTAACGATGGAACCGCCAAATCCAGTCGCAAATTTAAATATGGCCTATACACAAGTTTCGCAGGATTCAGGAGGTCTTATACATGGTAGCGTTTACGAAGGTGAATAGTTCAACAGTTCAACATCAATTCAGTTGAGCCTCCGAGGCAAAATTTGCACCGCACATCCAGCTGGAGTGCAGCATAAACAAGAGACTTGCTTCGAACTACTAGAGTATCTCGTTCAGAAGAAAACAAGCAATTAAATGAGCTACATAAACACTATTGTGGAATTCCGTTTAAAAAACCTAACTTGGCCCATTTGAACTTCAGAAACAAAACTATGAGGTGATCTAGAAACGAGGAACGTCCGATCTGCACTGAACAGGTTCTGTTTGAGTTGACAGATGCGCTCACAACAATTTCTCGTAAGCGGCTTCGAAATCTCGACAATTATCTCAACTAGCTGCCTCTACAGTGAAGCACCACAAGCACTTTCACAGGCTAATCATCGAAGTTGATTTCTCCTTATTGGATTGATTGCCGTTTGGTGAGGACAGTCACGGAGGCCGATCGAAATTGCGACGATATGGGCAGTCTTTCTGGTTTTTCTGACTAATCATGCAATCACAATTTTAGCAATCATCCAGCCGTAACACTTTCGGTACCTAGCTGCCACGCCACCTGAAGGAAGCACGAAGGCTGGGATATTCCCAGGTTGCTCAAGCCTAGCTAAGGGTTCGAGCCACGGAGCTTACCGTCGGTAAATGCGTATTCTAACCACTGAGCCATCTCGCCCACGACTAACCATGAATGAGTAAAAAGCAACCAGTAGTGCTTGCAAGAGACTCAACTGAATCCCTCGTTCACGGTAGTCTTCGATTTAAATGCGTTGCACAAAGACAGCTTCATGGTTCAGTTCAGGCATGATATTCAAGATAGTGCAGTGCGCTTTCCTAACAGAACGGATTACTCAGGGTGTCATTGAAAACTGTTTGTCAGCCCACTTTCGGTTTCGCCCTTCTTGAAGCTAAATGGCTCTGTGGTTATGGCACGAATTTACTGACTGGATGATCCGTAGTTCGAACGCAACTACGACTGTTTCCGTCTAGGCATGGATATCCGCGGGTTTCCTTTGAGTATCATGGTCACTAGGCACCGAAACATCAATATCAAATATCGATGTTATGCTGTCTATGATGGTGATGACCAGATAGACGAAGTCCGAGAGTTCCCGCTAAACTTATATTTTATTGAGCACTAAATTGTACGCAAAGTACTTTATTCATCAACGGGATACTTCTCCTTTTTTACTCCTTTTTTCCCTCTCTCCATCATCAATAATCGATTAACTAAGTCATCGACTCCCACTACAATATGGTTGTACAGTAGTCAAGCACCAGTGTTTTTACATGATATAGCTGTTAATGATGCTAGTGTTAATCACTTTAAACGATTGAGTTAGTTGAATGGAGTTGAAAACTTTTTCCAGTTGCCGAAACACAGCTGGGAAATCAGTCCACAAATGCACAACAGGCATCTGACAGGACCTACCAGATAGGGTCACCTTATATCGGAGTATTGTGAGTTTTAGCCGTCTAGCACTGCTTTGTGGTCCTATAAGGAACCGAATGTGCCTGATGGATTCCAGTTTGGATCCAGTCACGCAGTCGCACAACAAACTTCTACAAAATCACTCACGATCTTGCATTTAAAAGACATCTCACATATGAATGTGGGCTCTTGCACCGTCAACGTGCAACTAGGTGGACAAAGCAGCCCCAAGGGACTCTGTAGGGATGTCAACCAAGCAGCACAAAAAGCAACACAGCGAAAAGACGTTGCCGGAATCAATAAATTTCCCCCACCATCATGCTACTACTGCATAACTCCGGTATCTAGTCCACGCTCCATGCAGCAAGAGTCTGGAGCTTCGACCCATACACCTCCCACACCTGCGGAAAATGGTGGCATGGCAGCTAGGTACCAGAAGGGTGTTGCAGCTGAACGATGACTTCAAATACACTGTCGCCCAGAAACACCTTTCCGTTAAAGATTTCAATAGCACGTTCTGATGACAGAACGAAACAAGTAGTCACTTACTGAATACTCCGTCCGAACTCTCCCAGTCCGCTGAAAATGCCCGCCGTTATGTCCTGAATAGCTTGCTGCATATCGACACCGCTCCACGTGATACCTCCACCACCAGGAGCTAATGTGTGGCCACCGGGAGCAGTTGCCGAACCCGACTGCCCTTCTGACTGAGTGGACGGCGGCGGTCTGGGGACCAAATGAATAACTTTGTTCTGAACACCTAGACAAAAGAACCGGGTACCATCGATTGTTAACCCAGCAAAAATTCAGACAACGGAGTTATATATGGGAAGGTGCATGAGTGTGAACGTTGGCTCGTTAAAACTGATGCAGCTGTGCAGAGTGAAAAACAACCATATTGACCTAAGACTACCCTCACTGACAGTAAAAAGGTATTGTGCAAAGAACAAAAAACACATCAAACCGTCACAAAACGTATCCCATACAAACTGTATTCCATTGGCTGCTTAACCACGTTGACCCATCGATTTGTGTCGGCATCATTATGGCATCCTTTCAGTGCCTAGCCGTCTTGCCACCCGAAGGGAGCACGAGGGCTGCGATACAACCAGGTTGCCCAAGACTAGACAGGGGAAGCCGAGAGACAGGTCGCGTTCGAGCCACAGACCTTCTGATCAATAAACTCGCGCTCTAATCACACAGCCATCTCGCCCTGTCGTCACTTATCGGTGGCTATGGTCGATCACCGTCTGGCGCCACTTCTGGGACATTAGTGTTGACTTCGACCATGTACTTGTGCGCTGCTGCTTTTCATTGCGTTTTTCAGGCCTCCGCAAAACACATAACCTTGCGCATCCAGTTAAAAGCTTGTGGACCCAGAAATCAAGCGACACTGTCAGAACAGGTTCCTCAAACGCCTGCCGGACGGT